TTAAGTAACCTAACAGTTCTGATAGTAGTGTAAAATCCATACACTTTTAAACACCTATATTGCTGATGGATAGCGGGTGCTCTTGTGTGGTTCGCTCCTTCTTTCCTATCAAACATCTAACGTCCTCATCTCGCATCCGTCTTCTTTTGTGCTTGTTACTCTCTTGTAACACATCTATTCTTCGGCGCTTATAATACGTCCTAATTCTGTTGCAAGTATCGAGAAACAGTTGCTAGAACTTTTTTTTTTAAACCACCTCCATCCCGTAAAACGTTTTCTCTTAAGACCAGTAATTTCCCCCACTTCCTTTCCCCGCGCTTATCAAAACAAATCTGCTAATGTGGACATAACCTTATATCATTTTGCAATCGAAACTATCGATCTGTCCAAACGGTCGATTGATTTCCGCTGCGACGCGGCGTAGGACAACGAGGGCCTGTACATAAGGCACACCCCTACGATCCCCGGCTAATAGGAGAATTATTCCTCTGTTGAGCACCGAGGTCGTCACAGGTAGGAGGCCTGCCTTGAAAGGGTCGCGCTGGTATTAACTTGTTTGTACAATACAGGATTTGTGTAAGAACGCAGTGGTTCCTACGTTTGACTGTTTATCTGTTTGACATAAAAGAGAAATCGCATTTTTTCCCAAATGGCTCTGGGGGCAGACTCGATCGGCTTTGATTTGCTGGTTGTTACGCGCAGACTTACTCGGAAAAAAATGCATACCTTCTATACCGTAGACTTGTGTGTGTAAATGCACACGATGAGTCCTCGGGGAAAATGAGCATAGTCACAAACTGGAAATTGTGAGGGTGTCAATTTTAAAAGCTTGTGGACTCATAACTTCATATTTGTTTAATTGGTGGTTTATTGTTATGTTTGTTGAATTGGAAATCTAACAACAATAATCAACCAACAATGGAACAGAAATACAGTTATATGAGTCCACAAGCGTTCAAAACTGATACCCTCTCCATTTTCAGTTTGTGACGATTCCCGTTTTTTTCTTGTGAATTCCTCTTATTCTTCTCTATCCCCAAAGATAAAAATGTATACCCTCTACCCCACTCTACACTATAGATGAAAATGCATATCATCTGTCCCCATCTATGAAGATGCATATTCTGTAGCCCACTCTACCCCTTAAATCAAAATGCATACATCTTCTACCCCGTAGACTTATGTTTGAAAATAAAACAGGCCTATTATATTGTCAAACGATGGAAAATTAATTGTTTGTCTTAGGAGTGCCTTTTTACGTCCTCCTTACAACATTGCCTAACAAGTGTTCGCTAATTGTTTTATAACCCAATGGTAAATTCATACGTCATGTTGTTGAAGTGTTGAAGTGTCAATCGCACCCAGTTTCTCCGTAACGAACTCGATAGATAGGACCTAGTTCGTGGTTCGGAGGAAATCTTAAAGACAAGACAGAATACCGTTCACCGCATGACATACCTTATTCGTACAGTGCAGGATTTGTAAAAGAACGCAGTGGTTTGTGCGTTTGCCTGTTTATCTGTTTGACATAAAAGATGGCACTTTCAAGCGGAATGGTCGGATTAAGCTTGAAAACAGAGTATAAAAAAGCCAGGTACACCGACAATAAAGTTATCTAATTTACTGAAAGAGCTGAAAAGAAAAAGAGGAGTGAGAACTTGACAGGTATTTAGGTCTTGGGGTGGGGTGAGGTGGGGTGGGGGAAGCAATGCAGACACAAAAGAAGAAGAAGGGAAAAGTGGGAACTAAGCGCCATTATTATTTTTCAAACCGGTAAATTTCGGACGTCAAACTATTCTAATGGACGAATTATTGCGCGCTTCTACGAGCGTACTAGATAAAGGTTATAGCACTCGTATCTAACACATCCACCGATGTGAGCTGCTCTGTTGGGTTCTGTGTTGGTTATTTACACTTTTCGCTCATTGTGTTTTTCGTTTTTACTTTCATTATTTTTCTTTGTTTTGTTGTGTGTGCATCGGGCGCGCTTGTGTGTGTATGCTTGTGTGTGTGTG